AATTTGGTTTTTTATAGTGAAAAATTTTTTTTTTTTTTTTTTATAAAACTTTTTTGTGTGTTAAATTTTAGCCACAAGAGTGTACTCATAAAAAAATGCATGCATAATTATTTGATCATGCTTTCATTGATACTTGCATTGACGTGTGCTAAGATTTTAGTTAAATGCGAGGAGACGCCTTCGCCTCTTTCGGAACGTGGCGAGAATTGCTCAATTGTAGCAGTGCAATACAGCAGCATGACCATGGTCCTAAATGACACTGAATATCAGAGGTAAGTCATGCTTGATTTATATTTAAGATTTATAAATAACCCCTCAACAATTATGAATTATAATGTGAATGGATTGTCAGATTCTTCAAGACATTAGGTGGACACTAGTGTGGTAAGATTAAATGTCGGAAGTGTAGGCTCCTGAGTATGCATTTGGAATTTCGAACAGACCTTGGGCTCTATGCACGAACATACTTCTAAGCTTTGTTTCTTCGTGATCATGGATGACGCAAATGTATATAGTCAACTGATCGATTGGTTGATTTGATCATGACATTTGTTTATACAGTTGTAGAAAATGTGCATGGAAGATGAAGGACGTAAATATGTATGTAGTTTGATGCTTACTTTGTTCAAGAGTGTGGTATAACGCTGTTTTCACGATACATAAACAACTTTATAGCCAAAAATATATAAACCCCCTCCGTTATAATATAGATCAGTAAAATCACTTCTTATATTTTTTGATCGATTTATAAAATGTATTTATAATGTGTGTACTTAATGCCTTTTCTATACATATTTTCATAAGCTGGTTAATCACAAAGCACACGTTATTTTAATAAATCCGATATATTTTAGTCTCTTTCAGTGCCTACATAATCGTACAATCGTACATTGCCAGGTTGGAACACAAGCAAGAAACACATCTGAACCATTTATGAATACTGTGGGCAAATTGATGAAAGATAAAAACATTTCTATAACTTGTAACTGTTCTGTGAGTCAACATAAGTATTTCTTTACTTCAATTTATAATTCTTCATTCCGTCAAGCGGAACTAAGTCTAAATCAGTTAGAAGGTGCAGAAACAAACTCCACTGCTATCGACCTCTGCACCAATTCATCACAATGCATTTATACTCAACTTGAGATGCCCTACCCTGTTCTTGTGTGCGCTAACAACACTAGTCTGATCAACGACAGTGGATCTAGGAATATTCTATTCCAAACCCTATTGCTACTGGTTATTCTCGCAGCGGCCGGGATTGTAATGGTGGCTTGGTTTTTGATCATGTGGACTAACCGTTGCTGTGACATTTGCAGACGAAAAGACGAAGACATCTATGACAGGATAAGTGTACCTCACTACGTCAACCAGAGAGTGAGGGAAAGTCAGGCATTGCGGATGACGAGAAAAACACGTTCTATATTTTAATATTATTTTAAAATGTCATTTCATTTGTTTAAATGGTTCAACAAGAAAGAAAAGGCAGCGGTTTGGGGGGGGGGGGTTCTTTCAATGCCAGAAGTCTCTTTTGTTAGAGGAAGGTTGCTTTGTTTACCCCACTCCACTTACTTGTATGGCTTACTTTTGGATTTTGTAATTTTTTTATTTAAAATTTCGTTTTATGGTTCAACAAGAAAGGAAAGGCAGGGGTTTGGGGGGGGGGGTTCTTTCAATGCCAGAAGTCTCTTTTGTTAGAGGAAGTTTGCTTTGTTTACCACACTCCACTTACTTGTATGGCTTACTTTTGGATTTTGTAATTGTTTTATTTAAAATTTCGTGTTTTGATTTTTATAGTCAATAACTTCACCCATGCATCACAAAATCTTGCTACTACAACTGAGTTATAAACAGATTCATGTACATCATCATCTGCGTGCGTATGTAAGTTTGGTCACTTGATTGCAGTTTATCACTTAGCGCCATTATCATGTGTTGTACCAACGTATCACGCTTCTCTCTCTTTAGAGAGCATTTTATAGCTAAAATATTTAATATGTTCCTTCTAATTGCATTTTCATTAAGTGGTTGTGTGGATAAAGCTTTACAATAGTTTGTGATTACATCTGATATAGCCCTTAAATTGACCGTGTTCTCGTAAAGTGGTCAGCTGAAAGGTGTTTAACGTCTCGTTGCAATTTAGTTGTTTCAACATCGCGTCTACAGCATTGGTCGACGGTGTCGGGTTGACACTGTCAAAAGGTCAAAGGGAGGGTGGTTGTCTCATTTTTTTTTTTAAAATTCTATGCCTAAGGAAAGAGTTAAGTCACTAAATTTTATAAGCATTCGATGTTTAAAAAGTATCAATAATTCAACATAATTTAAAACGAATAAATAATTCTTCAAAAAGACTTCAAAACAAAATCAATAATTCTATATACTTTAAAACAATAACGATCATTCTACATAGTTTTAAAAAAAGTATCAATAACTCTAAACACTTTATGAACAAAAGACTTAGCAGAAAATATTTTCAAAAATAATTTTTAAAAAAAAACAACATACATAGGTTTCGTCTACATTCATTGCGAATTCCATGGCTTTAAAAAATGTTCAACTGGACTTCTCTAAAGTATGACTTTGCGTATTGCTTTTTAAAATATTGTAATTTATTGTCTTCATTTTACTGCGTTTCAACTCGTCTTTGATTGATTGAAATGATTTTTGAAAAATTGTGTTTAAATATTAGTTTTGTTAAAGTTAATGTTTTTGTAACGTTGGTTCGTATTCATTACATATATATATATATTCTGTTAATATAGGGACAAAGTGGATTAGTCTTGTAGGAATCTAATCTATTTTATGTATTTCCGACTTTTAGTGTTTTATTTATAAAATTATTTTTGTGAACCTACAAATTACAATTCTTTAAATTATAATAATTTTTTATTTTTTTTAATTTTTAGTTTGAATTATAACTTTATTTTAATATAATTTTTTTAAAAAACAATTTCAAATATATTTTAATTCTTAAAGTGAATAAAACACAAATTTAATACAGGATTGCAATTTCGTTGCATTAGTGACGACGGCATGTTTTGAAAGAACAATTTTCAGACACGTGTATTTCTTTTTGCTTTCAGTCTTTAAGAACAGTACTCTAACTTATCAGATAGGTTATTCAACAACATGATTAGCTGAGGCACTCTTAGATAAAAGTAAACATATCTACAAAGAGCTTCGCTTGGTTTCAGTGCAATATTTTACAGCTTTACTTAAAATTTTATCAATGTCTTGATTTAACAACTTTAATTATAATTTTCTTTAAATGTATACTAAATTGACTCAGAAAATGTGGTATTTTAAAAAAATAATGTAAAGAAGTAACATATCGCAATAGTATAGACCAGGGGTCGGGAACCTTTTGTCAGAGAGACAGCCATGAATACCAAATATTTTGAAAAGTAATTCTGTGAGAGCCATACATTATGTTTAAAACTAAAAATTTAAGTTAATGTGTGCATTTTGTGTAATTTCAACAATAAAAATGCAATAATTATGTCTCTGAATTCTTTTAAATATCATTATTATGCTGTTGCTAATCAATAATGAGTATTTCTTACCATTAATGCGACTTTTTTTATAATCTAACATTTGTCTGCGAGCCAGATGCAGCCATCAATAGAGCCACATCTGGGTCGCGAGCCATAGGTTCCTGACCCCTGGTTTAGACAAATACTAGAAGTATAAGTCACAACTTTTGGACAGTCATAAGAATTTTACCCCCTCTCCACCACCACCACACTAGCTTTCATAGATAAAACTAATACTGCTCTTTACACTATGGAAACTATTTTATACGATTCTGAGTTGCCAGACCACATTTTGAAAGAGTTTGAAGTCGCTGTTAAACAGCAAAGTGTACACGTCTAACGTGTGGAGTACTTCTTTCAGGTGGGAGCAATATAAAATATATAGTTTGTAAAAATAGGGTAAATCCCTGAAGATCACAACATATCTAATGCTTAATGTCATGTTTCTTTTCTTTTTCTTCCTTTTATAAATTTAATGTCAAGCGCCGTGAGCCTAGCCCTAGGTTGAGGTACATGCTACAAAAGACCACTTAAATGAAAATAATAATTATAATACCTATCCACCATCCTGTGTAATGGCTTTAGTGTTAGATACGGTATCAACGTCTTATGGCAATTTCGTTGAATTATTTATTTGGAAAATAGCCCTCCGGCTACCACCGGTCAAGGTTATCATGCAATTAATTGTGTACAGTTAATCATTAAATTTTCCAACTTTGAAACTCATCATAACTTTGCACAGTTTAAAAGAAATGCGCACAATTTAAAAAAAATACTAGAACATTTTTGGACTACCTTATTGCAGCCGGCTCAGAATTGTCGGCGAGCAGAAACTATGATTTTCTTTTAACACTGAACAGCGTTGGTATTACGAGTGCGCAAAATTATTAAATATATTAGGCTGATGAATGTGTCCCCGTAGCAAACTGTAAAGAGTTTAGAAAAATGTTGAATCATGATGGTGAAACTCAAGTTTAATTTCCACGAGAATAACTAACGACTCCTGGAATCATGGCTCCTATCACAGATTATGGACAAAGACTTAAATAAATTCAACACTCTATACCAATGGAGCAGTTTAAGAATTGTTTTAGTTAGGGTGTACCAACACATAGTGCAGACCGTGGAAAAGATGATGTGCATAAGGCAGCAGTCGGCTAAATAATGTCTCAATATTGCCTCAATTCTCAAAGAATCTGTTTGACGCAAAACAAGACAAGCACCACATTTTATCAACTAGCTAGCACGCCTCAAAAAAATGTTAAAATTAAAGTCTGGAACAAAAGAATCAAGTCCACGAAATATGCGTGCATTTGTAAAAAGGCCAGATCATAAGAGTGATTATTGTAAACACCAATGTACATCAAAACCCACTTAATAAACGCCTGTTAACTATATAATTACTATATTGTATTGCATTTAGAAAAATAGAATAAAGCTTTATTTAAAATGTGGCAACTTAATAAAGCACACCGAACATTTTCCTTAATTGATGTTTGAGAGCGCACCGTTCTGAATAAAAGCTTTTTAAAAATGAGTAAAACCAAAAAAAAAAAAACACCAGATCTAAGTCCCTCGAGGCCATTGAAAATAATATTTCTCTGTCATCTTTACCTTTTACACTTTACTACTATTTCTGTAAATACAGCTTTTCGGATAAAGATATAATGACACTAATTCCCTGGCGTATTGTTTATATCATGAGGGATAAGCTGGTTAAACTTTGTTGCGATTCATGGTTTTAGTCCTCTACAAAGTAACAAACAAGCAATAAAATAAAATCACACTGAGCTCTATATTAAATTACTCTGGTTAAACTGAAAAAGCAGGGTATGGGATAATTTCAGTCTAAAAAAATAAACAAAATTAAGTGTCTATCAGGCATGTGTGCTTTGTGCCCTCTTTATTACAGTGATGTGTGGACAACATATGCTAGTCATGAGCGAAAACTCAACTGTTACCATCAAAGTTGTCTGCGTCGCATTTTACGCATTCTATGGCAGGAAAGGGTGCTTAACGTAGAGGTCTTGGAACATGCAAATATGGATAACATATCCTCCACTCTTAGCAAAAAGCGCATGTGCTTGTTTGGCCCTGTAAGGAGATTGGAGGAAGGTCGTATTCCAAAGAATCTGCTGTATGGAAAGTAGGCAGGAGAGACAATACTTATTGGAGTCTACGCTTGAGATATAGCGTTTGAAAAGGTGCATGAGGGACGCCAAAAAGGAAAAGAACGAATGGTAGATCATTATTGAACAAAGTTCCAGCTAGCGAACAACAGTGTATGAAGAAGACAGAAAGGCAGAGGATGCGCAAAACAAGCACATACAACAAAAAGAACAATACGTAAGGTCAACTCTAATCAGGAGTCAATATTCTCCTGCGAAAAATGCAGCCGAAATTGCGCTTCCAGCAGTGGCATAGTGAGCCATTCGTTGAAGTCTTCATGGCTACTCCATCGTCTCGCAAATATGGAAGAATGCCATATTTGAATAAACATCTAGTTAAGTGATATTCAATACAAAACAAAATGTAAAAGAAAAAAACTTTTTACATTTTCTTTTAACAGTCATCAAACTATTACATTTCAAAC